CAGACTAGAAGTTCCACGCTGGAGGAAAATAGCGCCTGCTGTAGTTATCGCTAAATCCCCCTGTCCACCAACCCAAGCACATAGAATAGTGCCTGGCAGAAAGGGGGCCAATATGTCCATCTGCAGAACTGAGTTTCATATCCAAAAATACTCATGAGGGTTTCTACATGAGTAGAATTGCTGATAGAACCCTCTTCCTGGAGCCTCTAGAACTTCCTGTGTCATCTGTCACAGCCTCAGAAAGGCCACCCTACCTCCAGTCACACCAAACCTCACCCACCCCACAAAACACTTTATTGACATTACAAGGCTTGTCTAGTTCATCTGTTGGCCGGTAGTCCCCACTCTCTTCTAGAATGTCAATTCCATGAGATGAGGGATCTTTGTCATTTTAGTTCTCTGTTGGAATTCCAGCATCTAGAATAGTGCTTGATACAGATTCAATGAATACTCACTAAATAAAGGGAGAAAGACCATCCACAGTTACAACTTCTCAAACCTGCTCACAGCCTCCTGAACGTCTCTCAACGCCCTCCTGGCTCCTCTCCATGTTCTAAAATGCTCCTATCCTGCCACCATTTCTAAAGTCTCCCTGGCCAGCCCAGTGGTCCTTTTTTCTCCCTTGGCATCAATAGTCCCTACTGCCTACATCATTCATTTAGCACTTTCTTCCTTTTTTAAAAAAAAAACTTATCTTAGACCAAGTTATCTTTACTATCGATCTCTTACCTCCCTAAATTGACTGGAAGTTTCTAAAAGCTTCAGTTATTCGGCAACTTTAGAGAAGAATTTCAAAAATGTAGTTTCAAAAAACTTGAATGTTCTTTACCAAGAACTGTTTTGTATTTGAACAATTCTGACTGTAGGGACAGATGAAATACAACCTCGCTAAGCTGATTATAACTTAACTGTTCCATGAGGACTAAAAGTCACCTACATACTTATAATCTAGTTTATATTCTTGGGCACTATATAAGGTTTTTATAAAGTATTAACGGACCATTAAGGAGCTATACTCTTTATAGTTCATTATTGTTTTTTTTTATAAACTTTCTGTCTTCTTCACTGTCCTGCTATCAGGTATAAAACTTCTTGCTGCTATAAATAATCCTTCTCTCCTTCTAATTTGCTGTGAGCACCAATGCTCACTAAGTTAGAACTAGGACTAAAATAAGGGTGAATCGGCACAAAGTGAGGTTCTTTGTAGGGAAGAGGGAGGGAAGTGACCCAGTGCTTACTGCAAGCTCACACAGATGTTCCACAGATACTGATTGATTAAATGAGTCACAAATGCAGTCGTGGCTCAGCAAGAAACATGTAAGCAATGGCCTGCTATGTTCTGAGAGGGGACACTTACAGCTACCAAGAGCCCACGAGCTCCACAAAGCATGTTTCTATTATCTCACCTACTCTTGACAACCTCCTGAGGTTAGGTGGCATGAGTATCACTGATGTAATGACATCCATTTTTAAAGTTAGGGAAACTGTGCCTTAAAAAGTGACATGATTTGCCCCAAATCACACACCTGGTAAACATCCAGGTGTCTGTGTGTTTTATTCCTACCACTAAGTCAATCTCTATAAAGCCACTGTTGTTTCTTCGGGTTAAAAGAACTTCAAGTAAGGCTCTGATGTACAAGAGAGAATGCAGGGCAATACGTTCTGCAATTATAGTCCACATTCTGGAAGAGTATTTGCCCACAGTATTGTTTACTGCTAATGAGCAAATTCAATCTCTCATTTCTCACAGTAACACATAGGGGACAGAGATCAAGAAGATAAATACTTCTAAATTTGGCCTTTGCTATGCTATTACAAGATTATAATCTTCCCAAGGCTCATGTCAAAATAACCTGGAACACCTGACACTAAAAACCCTCCGTTCCTCTCTACCTGAAAGTTTAATCTGTCCCATCCAAGGAACTTCTCATGTTCGATCTTAGAGGGGCTGCTCAGAAATGAAAAAAGTTAAGCTGAATTAGACAGCTGAGAATTCAAAATAAATTCTAGTTAAAAATGCTAATGTATATTCATTGTTGGTCCATGGCAAAATCACATGCTCCATGGCCAGAGACAATATGAACTGTGTTCTCACAGCGCTGTGTTCTTTTCCTTCCCTGCACTTTTGTGTCTTTGTTAGCCAATCAACAAAAATTTATTGAGGACCTACTACATGCCAGCTGTCTAGGTGCTGATCAGCTATTTGCTGATTTAATATCTGTCTCCCCCACTAGACTACAGGCACCATGAAAAGAGTTACTGCGGCTTTCTTACTCACCACTGTGTTGTACCTAGCAGGGTGGCTGGCACAGGGCAGGAGCTCGATAAACAATGAATGAATGAATGAATGGAAAAGGGGAGGGAGAAGAAGGGGAAGGGGAGGAGGAGGAGAGGGGAGGGGGGAGGAGGATGAAGAGAGGGGAAGGGAGAGGGAGAACACTACTTTGTAGTGAAGCAATCAGGGCTTTGGGATGCCCAAACATGCCTTATGATCCACTAGCAATCTGATGAATTCTGGAGGCACCACATGCAATGCACAGCTGTAAGCATAGCAGCTGTCAAGCAAGGAAGCCAGGTCCAGAACTAGGAAGAATTCAGCTCTTTGTTTTGCTCTGTCTGTCTCATAACCAAAATAAAGTCAGGTCTACTGTCAATCTACCTGTCAACTGTATGTCTTCAACATGTGGCTTTCAGAAATCCTAAGTGAACACTGCCTCTCAATGAAATTTATGTTGATTCACTCTCTGACATCACTGCCTGAAAAGATATTATTTAAATGTCTGAGGTCACACATAAGACCTAAATAAAACTGAGTTAATAAAAAAAGTTCTCCATTTCAGGTCTCCGTAAGCTATAAATTAGCTTTCACAGAGTATTTAATAAAAAAGGTTTGACTCATTATTTAAACTTTAGGTCACAGAGAACAAACAAGCCTCTTTACTAGTAAGTTGTTCAAAACAGACTGTTAAGTTCCAAGAGTGAGCTTTGTGCAAGTCTTTTAATTAAAACCTAGGATTCAATGGGTTATATCCTGCCCAGAATAGTTATAAAAATAAAAACTGAATAAGAAGAAATATGAACTATTTGACTCAATATAAAACACCAGCCAATTAGGCAAGTAAAAAATGCAGACATGTGAGTTCATACATCACTATTAAAACAAAATGTTTATTTTCAGGTTTGTCTTCGCATCCAACTAAATGAATAGAAAAATAAATTAAGGGATAAATAAAAAAGAAAAGCAAAAGAGTAATGAAATATGTTCTAGACATTCAGTAGGCCAAACAGAAAAGCCTTAAAGTGAAGTTGTCATTAAGCTATAAATATATTTAAGTATATGAGTGAGTTATGATTAGTGGCAGTTTGGAGTCCCATCCTGCCAATCTCCGGCCCCTACAAATCACAACTTACCTAGGAAGCTAGTAAAAGTATAAACAAAATGAATACTAAATAAAGGAACAAGTAGAATGAAGGAAAAAGTTTCCAAACAAGCCCTAAGCCTAGTATCAGCAAAATCCCAGTACTCACTCAAAAGTTTTGTTTTTGCTTTTAAAAGACCTCAGAATTTTCTAGACGTTCATCATCTGATTCAGGATCAAAGCGTTTAATGACCTAAAGCTGTGTCTAAATCACCTTCAATAAACACAGAACTTGTATTCAGTAGGAGGCCTACCAACTGTCCCGGGTGAGTTAGCTGTATTTCCATTATGCTGTGATATACAAAGAATCTAGAATTTAAAAATCAGGACTGACTTCTTACCTACATTTTAAAATACTGTTTTTAAAAATCCCCCAAATTTTTTGTTTACAGTATAACTTACACAACTTGCAACGTTCTGGGTAAAGGATGGACTCGTTCCTTCAAAACACTACAAAAATAAACTTAAGACCTAAGGCGGGCAAAAAAAAAAAAGTATTTATATTAACGCAAAACTACCGTACTGTGCCTTGGCATATATTCAAACTGGGCTTTATGAAAGATTCTCGAATTCACATTAAAATCCCTCATAAAAAAAAAATCTCAACGTGTCAGTATGCCAACTGGAAATATGATACAGCCAACCAAACTATTTCCTACCCAGAAATTATCCCCTCCCTTTCTAAGCGTCACTACACTTCACCTTTTGTTCCAAATCATCCCAAATCATAAAACTATGAAAACTGAATCAAAACGACAGAACAGCACGCCCCCTGAACTTCCACATCCCACCGGGCTCCTCGCAAGCCCGCCCCTCGCCCCCTCGGTCTCGGCTCCTCCGCTCTCCTCTTTCCGTCAGTCCGCCCGTCTGCCTCTCTCCACGCCCCCCGCCCCCCCGCGGCCCGCGATCTGTGCTGAGGGCCCGGGTCTGCGGAGCCGGGCTG